AAGACCGTGAGATGGAGTTGGGGAGCAGGAGGCGGCATTCCGCTGCCCCTGTAAAGCGCTCGCGGACACAGCTGAACTCAAGCGCGAGCAAACTGGGCTTGGCAGCGGTCCTGGAGAGCAACTCGTACAATACGGAAAGAGGACTGTGGCTGGGGATAGGCACAATTAACGATTCTAAGAACTCTCGTAGACCCCACATCCGCGCCAAAGTTACGACCTTCTAAAAAGCAAACGCGTGACCGATTGATTTTCAATGATCAACGAGTTCGATGTTTGATCTTGTAGCATGTGGGACCTTTTCCGTGTCATTGTTTTAATTCTAAAAATTATTTTTATATTTATAAATATATAGAAAACGATCAATAAAGGCATTGTTTTTTGGCGGGGTTTTATGAAGTCTACAAAATACACGAGCACAATTTTATCTGGGGGACTTCACAGAGGCAACGTCAGCGGGACAAGCTCAGCGGCACTCCAAACTAGCCGTGCATCGAAAAGCCCGGTACTGAAAAGCCCGGTACCGAAACGACCACGTACCGAAACGACCGCGTACCGAAACGACCGCGTACCGAAACGACCGCTTACCGAGATGTCCGCACCGGAATGTCCGGTTCCCCATTTCCATCGAACGCATTTTTCACTGCCGTAACTATCAACAGTCCTACTATTCGAAAAAAGAAATGTCTTCTAAATTTTATGCAAAGTTCATTCCATATCCGTTGGATACTCAGACTCGTTGGACATTCAGACTCGTTGGACATTCAGACTCGATGGACATTTCGTCTCGATTGGATCTTTCGTCTCGATGTACATTCCGTCTCCCGTCACGTGACCGATTGGACATTCAGGCTCGTTGGACATTCAGTCTCGTTGGACATTCAGGCCATAAGCGGCAAAGCAGCACCACGTACAAGTTGATTAATTTTTCACCCGATCACTGAAAAACTGAAATTCATTACAATGAAGAACAATGGAAGTGTCGCTGACACATGCCGTCCCACTTTTTTTGATAAAGAAAGCTTCCAATAGCTCTCGAGCGACCGTCTGTCGGCTTCTTCCTAGTATCCGCATCTGCTGAAGTCGCGGAACGCAGCCACACGTGTTGCAATGTATTGGCAAATGCGAGCCATATCTATTTTTTACCGATAATGATAAAGAGAGAAAGTCTCCGGGCAAAGGAAATAGACAGCGGCGAAACTATTCAGGGTCGAACGCAGATATCTATGTTTTCTGCTGAAAGGCGTCTTTGAGTCACACCGTCACTCGTATCGGTTCCCCAAAAGAAACGCCGCCTTTTCGCTATCCGCCCAAAACACTGCTTCCCACTAATCCCTTTTCCTTTGTGGGTTTGTCCACATCCAAGCAGATTCTAATCACCGCCGTCCAACTTGGCGGCAACGTTTATTGTTTCCCAACATTTTGGTAGACTCCAGATGGAGGGCAAAGAGGGCAACACATAACGATCATCAACTCTCTTCCAGCTTATTAGGAAGCCCTAACCACCGACCTTCAGACGCCCGATAGATAGCCCCCCCTCCCCCCTTTGCTGGCTCTCCACATGCCAAGACGCCCATCCCTGAGCAAGCCGGCCAACCCCTTTCCCTCCCCCGTCCCCAAAACAGTTTTCCGACCGACACGGACAGCCCAAACTCCTTCCCCACCTCCCAACTTGCCCTTCCAAGAAAATACCGACACCGGATATCTGGAAATAATTCACCCTCCCTGCGACAACAACAACACAATTTTGTACGCTTTAGTTTTTTTGTCGTTTTATTTTTCCTTCACTTTACGCTTTTTTACACTTTACGGCACGAAAGGAATGCAAAAAGCAAAAAAAAAAAAAAAACACAAAAAAAAAACGAAACGTTTAACCAAATTGACATCTAAGCAAACACATGTTGAACCTTCTGCGTCCACAAAACCGAGCAGCACCCCACATAATACCTGCCAAAGAGCGGATGAATAGAACCCAGAGGTTAACTTCAAACGCATAAATGTCGAAAATATATTTTTTTTTCTCTTTTCACAAAATAACAAGTTGCAATCATTGCGTCGCAACACAGGGACACCCCGTGCCGAGCTTCGGATAAGGGGCTCGGTAGAGGAGCTGTATCCATTGCACCATCAATATGATGCAACATGTTTTTAATGGATATTAACCGCTAGATAGAGTAGAATAGAGTAGGATAGAATAGAGTAGGATAGAGTTTAAAAAAATAAAGAACATTTTTTTTCAAGTCGCACTTAAAATATTTTTATTTTGATGCTTGTCTCGTGTTTTCTTGCCAAAATCTCCCCAACCCACGCATATACAGATTTAAATTTTAGTTAATTTACTTCCATTTATAAGTAGCGTATTGAATTAAAATATGACTCTTCTGACTAAAGTATTTTCTAAGATACAGGCCTGCTAAGTTGGGGGAAAAACGGTCAAGGAGCCGAAATTGATGTTTTTTATTTATTTTTTAAAACATACTAAACAATAACAATATTTTTTTTCGTATTGCTGTGTACATATAGATTGTACTAAAACATTATGAAACTCACCTAAAAAGTATAACTTCAGTTATTAATCACCAAAGCTGACCCCTCCGGCTATGCAAGTAAATGCGACTTTCCACCTCTACGTGATGTACGATTTTTCGCGTTCGACAATTTTTTTTCTGGGTGAAAATAATTCTGATTTTGTTCATTTCGGACATCGGAAAACAACATATAAAATTATGAAGAAAATTAAAAAGGTCGACCGGCCACCCCCTGTTCGATCTTATCTGAAATCACCCTTTAGTAAATCACTTTTATAAGAGCAACTTCGAAATAGCCTTAAAAAAGGAACGAACGCTTTGGCGCATATAAAGTTGTGTTATTCTGAAGATTTATACAAATTATGGGGGAAAAAGACCGGCATATTACGTCCCATTTTATTTTAATGAGCTTCCAGAAACTAACTATAACATGGAGTCACTGAAACAAGTAACATATTAACTAAAAGATTGGCATTTGAATTTGGAAATGTAACCTGGCTTTATTGCTTTTTTAGTATTCCACTTAGTTTCGCCTCTTTTTTTCTTGTCTGCTTTTGTTGTGTGCTAGTAATGCACACACGAGAATTTCAGTGTGAGCATACAAGCACACCAGTGGTTTCGCGGGCCTGCATATGTAATATGTGTATGATCTGAATAAAACTTTTTATACTTATTCTTAACATTTCACGAGTCTGTTAGTACTCTGGTGGTTAGCAGCACACATACTTATCTCGGATACCAAACAGGCCACTTTCGGCTACTCTACAAAATGTAATAAGTTCAGCGGCCGCGGAACTGCGTTTCACTGTGGAAAAGCCAAAGGAAAATGTCATCAAATTTTTGGATTTACGCATTCATGTGGGCAGTGGGCTGTGTTGGGAATATGGGAAGCAGGCACCAAAACGCGTCCTATCGAAGCAGAGTTGTCATTCTAAAATTATAAAGGCAGGGGTAGTGAAGTCTCTGACCCAGAACGCTCTACAAAGGTCATGCATTCATTCCATGAAGCAGTCTTTGAAAAGACAATGGGGAAGACTGGAGAAGGCCGGCTGCCAAGAATCCTTCATGAAACGGCAGCTACAGATCGAAGATAAGCAAGATAAGCGAAGTGCCAAGAACCGACGGGCTGCCATTCCATATTTTCACGCCATTTCGCATAACTGAAAACATGTGCAGAGAGATTTGGGGTTAACACCGTTTTCACATGCGATTGCAAATGAGCTAAACTGACTCCTTTTGAGGCAGGGCTGAAAGAATGTAAAAAAATGCATCGCGACAGATCTGTTCCATGTGTGAGTGGAGTAGTGTACGAAATTCCTTTGGAATGCGGCTTTAAACCTGTTGGTCAGACTACAAGATGCATTACCGATAGGTTGACAGAACATAAACGGAATGTGCGGATGAACGCTTCAAACTCTGAACTAGCGAGGCATCTCCAGGTGTGTAATGCATGTACAGCGAACTGGTCAGAGAAAGAAATCGTACACAAAGAGCGCGAGGAGATGACACGTGCGGCACGAGAATCTGTTCGCATAAAAACATCGGGAAATTGCATTAGCCAAGTGTCCACTGCAAATTGGAAGTGAGTCAAAAATGTTTCTTCGACTTTCTCAATGTCCTCGGGAAAATACATGTACCATGAAACACAAAATATAGCGGGAAAAGACGAGAATTTCGCCGCCAGCAGCGTTTGAAACTGCGCCTACGCAGGCTGCGCCTATTGAAATCACAGTCCACTCGGTTAGGAGGGACGCCGGTGAGAGTCTAGCCTCAAACTCAGTGACTGGGCTCGAAAACGGTTTGTCGCCCCTGGGGTCGAGTGTTTTTTGGAAAGGTGTATACCCGGACAGAGCCATTCTCCCCCTAGAAGATTAGCCCGTCGCTCAAAGTTCGGACAAAAGTTGCTTTCCCCACCCCGTTCACCCCGAAGCTGACAGTGCTGTGAAAGCTACGTGCTCCTTGGGCCAGCCACATTTTTGCCACGTGATCACGCTCTCTCGCGCATACCCACGCGTAGAGAATGAGGTCAGGGGATGAAAGATAGGCGGCTGATTGGTCGAGGAAGCGCGTAGCTTCCACCACAGTGTCAGCTTAGGGGTGAAGGGAAAGAGTGAGGTCCGGTATCGTGTGACGTGCGTTTGGACCCGGTGACGCGCTTTGGGAACCGCGGATGTATCACAGTGAAAAGGCTTACGAAGGGGAAGAGGTACGAAATAGTCCGCTGTTTTCAGATTTTCGCACTAAAAGTCAGGCTTTTGACTTTCTACCTTTTTTCTTTTGGCCCACTGTACAATGTGCTAGTAGTAAAATCCCAATCTAAAGTGATTTATGCCAGCCCAAAATTCGTTTCATGGGCTCTTGAATGCCCCCAGAGGCAGGAACGGATTGAAGGCGCCATCTACCGGAAGCTCGGCAAAACGTTTTTGACGCGTGACCTTATCTGCCTTATCTGGTGGCATCCTCCTCTCCTTGGCCGCCAGAAGTGTCCTCGCCCAAGTCCTCTTACGCCGTGCTCTGGACGTCGTTCAAACGGGCGACAGGCGTCAAGTTTGTGATGACGTAGCGGCGTCAAAGCGGGCAGAGCCGAGACGTGAGTGTTGCTAGGATACGTTCCTTCCTTGCTTTGCGTTACTTCCAGGTGCTTTATCTCAAATGTCTAACCTATCTATCAGTGATCTTATCTTTACGGAAGCCTCTAGTGCTACGTTTTCGTCTGACAGTTTCGTCAGACGTGGACCGTCGCTCTCGTTCGACAAAAATGAGCGATCACAGATGAGCTCCGGTGCTTCCTGGTTAGGTCTGTGGTTACTTTCGGAATCAATCTCTTGTTCAAGGACCCACAAGAACCTTTGCCGCATTTTCTTTTTTTCTTTTTGTGTGGATGTGTTTACCTTGGTTAATGAGCCTCGAGTGCCTAAAAGTCACTAAACCATTTACAAGTATTTTTTTTTTTAGTATATTCGCGATACAAAAGGTTTGTCAGCCCCTCCCTGTAAGGTGGACCAATTTCGAAGAAAGCAGTGCGCGAAGTGGTCGTTTGCACTCGCTCCTAAATATATTCAAGTGGCAAAAATCGCCTTTTGTTTCTTTTCTTTTTCTTTTTGCAGGAATTGCGAACCCGGCGGGGTGAGGTTCCGGCTTAGAAACGCCGACAGGAACCGACGGGATGTCGGGGAAGGAGACAGCGTCTGTGCACAGCTCCGACGACGAATCGGGTGAGTGCTAGCGACGGCATGGAGCCGCATTTTGGCAGAATTTGTCCTTCGACCGATTTACAAGCTCTTACAGATGCGATTCAGTTGAATTTATCGTATACCTAAGAAATTGGAATGTGTTTATGTTTTACAGACTGTGACACTGAAGCTTCAAAGAGCAAGAAGCCACCAGACAAAATCTTGGTTTTGCTAGCTGTGCCGTGCTCTCAAATAACCAGTAAGTTTTGTAGTGAATTATGTCATGCAGCCACACAAAATACCTGCCACCAGTAGAGTCATAAGGAGGGGGGGCGGGCGGGGCGGAGTGGAGCGGACTGCCCTGGGCGAAGCGCTCGGGGAGGGGGAGGGGAGGCGAGGAGTTGCCCTTTATCTTAAAGGGATACTACAACGAAATTTGAAATATTCCCGTCGAGTTCAGAAATAGGTTGAATATGATCCACAATATCCGTAAATGACAATCGCACGTTTCTATTTTGAGCCTGGTGGCTGTATTTTTCGCTATAAACGGCCCCCTCTGGCAAGCGCTCGGAGAAGGCCCAGCGGAGACCACGTGACATCCAACGCAATCGTGACGTAGGTCGTCTCGGGACGAGCAAAGCTACGGCGAGGCTGACGTCGAGAAGATGGCCTAGTCGTTCCAGCCACCGAAGCGGCTGCCTTTTGTATGAATTTTGAGTGACGGGTTAATCTTCTGTAATCTTGTAGGGGGACAATAGCGACTTCTGTGACACACAAAAGACATTCTCTGGAAGAGAGGAGTTCCTCCTGCCCCTCCTCTCGTCGTGGCCGGAGGCGAGACAACCTCCGTCACTAGCTGTCAAGGTTCCTAGACGGGCATTACAAGCGAGGCGTTAGCGACATCCACCAGGTGCTCTTTGCTAATCGTTTAATTCGTTTTAAAATTCCTTTTCGTGACTTTTTTCACAAGATATTGGTATGTTCGATGCGATGCTGCTTTTTTGAACACATATAGACCAAAAAATGAGCGCCGAAATTTCGTAGTAGTATCCCTTTAAAGGGATATTATAACGAAATTTCGGCGCTTATTTTACGGTCTATATGTGTTCAAAAAAGCACCATCAAATCGAACATACCAATATCTTGTGAAAAAAGTCACGAAAAGTAATTTTAAAACGAATTAAACGATTAGCAAAGAGCACCTGGTGGATGTCGCTAACGCCTCGCTTGTAATGCCCGTCTAGGAACCTTGACAGCTAGTGACGGAGGTTGTCTCGCCTCCGGCCACGACGAGAGAAGAGGGGCAGGAGGAACTCCCCTCTTCCCGAGAATCCCTTTTGTGTGTCGCAGAAGTCGCTATTGTCCCCCTACAAGATTACAGAAGATTAACCCGTCACTAAAAATTCATACAAAAGCAGCCGCTTCGGTGGCTGGAACGACTAGGCCATCCTAGAGTGCCTTCATGTGCGCTTCACATAGAGTGATGCCAACTGCCTGTTTCCCTTTGCCACACCCTTTTCCACCGCCATTTTGTTTCTCTCATTGTTTCCCCGTGCGCCGGAAAGTGGCCTTTGTGTCCATCGGTAATCCCATCCGAGGGGGAAAATGCTAATCCTTCCTCCGTGGGTTCCACAACGCTGCTCCGAACTTCTGAGATAAGGTGCTTGTTTCCGAAAGGGTTATAAGCCCCACGGATTATCGCCGAGGAACAAAATGGCTGCTGATTTGTCGGCGAGTGGTATTACAAAGGGCGGCATCACCCTAGCAAAGCGCACATGGAGGCTCCCTAGGCCATCCTCTCGACGTCAGCCTCGCCGTAGCTTTGCTCGTCTTGAGACGACATACGTCACGATTGCGTTGGATGTCACGTGGTCTCCGCTGGGCCTTCTCCGAGCGCTTGCCAGAGTGGGCCGTTTATAACGAAAAATACAGCCACCAGCTCAAAATAGAAACGTGCGATTGTCATTTACGGATATTGTGGATCATATTCCACCTATTTTTTAACACGACGGGAATATTTCAAATTTCGTTGAAGTATCCCTTTAAAAGCGATATCACATGCATTGTTATTACAGTGTCTCAAAGTAACAGCGAAGTGTCGTGGAGTTCACATTTATGAATAAGAGCGTTAATCTTTTCAAGGTACCTACGAGTTCTGGTTCGACCAACCAGCCAAGTGACAATTAACCCTTTGAGTGACGGATTTATTTTTGTCTCACAAGGTGATCGCAAGCTTTGGTCTCAGTAACACTGTAGCATGCTCTGCGAAGAAAATTTGTTTAATAAAGACATATATAGGTGTGTGGGCATAAAGTCTGCATGCCTCCAAACTAGGGCAATTGTTTTTAGTATTGTACTGATCGAGGCATGGATCTACGCAGTGGAAAGGGAGTGACCTCGCACTTCGAGGTCACTCTTTTGAGCGGCCTTACTCGGCCCTTGTTTATTCGGAATAAATTGGAACTGTAACTTCCTTGTTTTTACAGTCGTTGAATACCGAGTTTATTAGTAGTTTCTACAGGGTGAGTCAAAGGGATCGATGGCTGTTTGAACGGACGGCATAAATCAGCTTCTAAACGTATCGTGCTAAAATGTTTATAGGTAGCCGGCAAACGTGCATTAAAAGTGTAAACATTTCACTGAACAAACTTACTCGCCTATAGAGTCTGAAATGAAAAACTTGACACCCCTACTTACAGCGACCATGTGCTAATAAAAGACGTCTGATTGACGCAACAGTTATCAGTAAAAAAATAGTCAGAGTGCAGGCGAGCTGGTGTAAGTTGAACATGATTGTAAACCTGAGACTGGGGCAGAAAAGAGAACACAACAGAAGGTAGTAAAAGAGGAGGCAACGTCTCATTGAGACGTTGCCTCCTTTTTTACTACCTTCTGTTGTGTAGAGACGTTGCCTCCTCTTTTACTACCTTCTGTTGTGTTCTCTTCTCTGCCCCACTCTCAGGTTTACAATCATGTTCAAGTTATCAGCAGTGCGCTCCGCGTCCATGGGAGGCACCGAGCACCGCATTTTTCTGCGTTGGCTTCGGTGATGACGCGACTTTTGTCGGCTTTGACCCAAAACCTCAACAATGCTCTCAACCATGTCTGTCAAACCTATTCTGCTTTTAAACTCAACCATGTCTGTCAAACCTATTCTGCTTTTAAACTCAACCTCAACCATGTCTGTCAAACCTATTCTGCTTTTAAACTCAACCATGTCTCAAACCTATTCGTCGTCACGGCGAATATGTTTGAGGAAAATTGGAGACTCCCTCGCTGGGGGCAAGAGGCAGGGGGGATGTTTTTTGCCCGACCTCCCAAGGGTATCCCGGGGATATCCCACACTGCTTGGTGATGGAAAAATGCAGAGGGGGAGCAAATTGGTTTAGAAGGGCAAGGGAATGAATCCTACTTTTGGTTTCTAGGTTAGGTGGTGCGAGCTACCGCCCGTTACAAAAGGTACAGCCATTAGCATCCATTCATCCATGCTCACTTTAGTGAAAGTTTGCGAAAACTATATCTGGATTTTTATAGAACCAGACGCACTCAAAAGGTTAGAGGGTCCTTGAACAAATTTTGGGCTGGCATAAATTATTTTAGATTTCAATTTTAATAATTGCATATCGTTTAGGTAGAAAGTGCAAAGCTTGATTTTCGGTAGGAAAATTTGAAAACATAGCGGACTATTTCGTACCTTGTTTTTTTCGAAATCTCTCTGGATTTTCACTGTGATACGTTTGCGGTACCCAAAGCACGTCGCGCGACACCCGACCTCTATATGTTCCCTTTACCACTAAGCTGACAGTGCGGTGGGAGTTACATGCTGTCCGGACCAATCAGCCGCCTCCCTTTTATCACCTGACCCCATTATCTGTACGTGGGTATGCGCGAGGAAGCGTGATCACGTGGCAAAATATTGAAGTGTGGCTGGCCCAATGCGCACGTAGCTTAGACAGCACTGTCAGCATAGGGGTGAACGAGGAGGGGAAAGTAACTTTTGGAACTTTTGTCCGAATTTTGATTGACGGGCTGATTTTCTAGGGGGAGAATGGTGATGATCTGGGCACACAAACGAGGGTCCGAGAAAGAGGGGAGCTCCTCCTTTTCTTGAACTGTATGGTACGCTGCACAATATGTGAGTTGGGGAAAGCTAAGAAGGGAAAAGTTCGAAAGGCTCGAGGTACACCTAAGCGCTTCTTAAGAGTTGTGAATGCGAAAGCACGCGGGCCGCTCGTCCGCTCCCATGTTTTGTCTCCTGCGTACTTTTCGTCGCCGGTCAGCGGTCGCGCTCCCATGGGCGCGCTGACTTTGGACGCTCTGTGGTAACGGCGCGATACTGGACACGCAGCGCCATCGGGTGAGCGTTCGTTGAAACTGACGCGCAGCGGCCAATGGGAACCTCGTCGACGCGCGCCAGCCAGTGGGACCGAACTCAAAAATCCACCAGCTTTACTCCGTTCCTTTTGGATCGGGGAAACTAGGTGCCGTTGTCTAGGCGTTTCACGTGGTTTCATAGCTGAGAGCTGGCTTTACTTGGAGAGAGGATTTAAGGTGCCGATTTCACGCTTCAGACTGATGACGCCGGCTGGCTCCATGGGTTAATGCTTTCGCATTAAAAATCGTTTCATAGCCCCTTTAATGATGCCCTAACCAAGAATTTCTTCAAAAGAGGTTATCAGCTTTTTATTGGGTATCTTGCTTTATTTTCAAGATCCTCTAGTTCTACTCATCATTATTTTCTGCCAGACATTTGCATTGATTGTAGTGGCTGTTCAGCACTGAATGTGCTCAGTGTGTCGGCATGCCTTAAAGTGTGACGACTCTTTGTATGTGCAGACGACCTCATCAGCTTCCTGCGAGTGATGTGCATCACCTGCGAGGAACAGATCAATTATTTCGACTTTAAGAAGGTGCTCATCCACAAGCACCTGAAGATCATTTTCTGCAGGGTAAGAGGTATCCCCTTTCAGGGAGCTGTGCAACAATTTTCAAACTTTGGCCAATTAGCTGCACAAATTACTCTGCGTCACCTATGGAACGAAAAGCAGAAAACCGTATTTTCTTGCGAGCGCTAGTTCTTATTTAAAAAAAAAAGATCGAAGGTTGAAGTGCCTTTCACCTCCCCACGTCGACGTTTGAGTGACGTACTCTGGGGGTTCACGTAGTTTCCCCTTCGGCCCTTTCTTCACAGACCCCAGCCGCTTCCTCCGCGATTGTCGACTTTTAAAGGGGCCCTGCAACAACTTTTTGACTGGTTTTCAATTTGCTCCGAACCTTAGCGCACTGAACGTAATAACTTAGAGACATTTTTCTTTTCTCGAATTTCGCTTTAGTTTAAAAGTTATAGGCAAATTAGAATTACAAAAAACAGGCAAAAACAAATTCCTTCATGACGTCGTAGGTCCCGGCTTCAGTGGCCGTGAACTAGAGGAGTAGTGAGCTCATCGAGCGCTCACGGCTGCCGCACTCCGTGTCGACGGCTCGAGAGGGCGCCACTAAAGCACGTGTTGGATAGGCTGTATGAAGCAGGTGGCCAGGGCGGCTCGCATTGCATTTGCTGCGCGATTAAAAACTAATTCGGCATAACACTTCATTGGCCACAAGCGACAGCAAACACGGGGTAAAGATCAATTCAGAACGGTAGCCACTTCGCGCTGCCATACCGCAATATGGCCAAATCGCCAGTCAAGCCCGCGCCGAAAGCCTTCGGAACGCTCGGAACCGGTCGGATCTGTACCATATGCTAGCGGGAGGATCACTGCGTGCACGCGAAGAGACAAAAGGAGCGCGCGCTTAAAAATAAAGAAGTTGTTCTTGCTGCTGGCACTGATCGTGAACGCACTATCTTTACATGGTGTCAGAAGTCCAAAGGTAAAAGCTCACGGCATCATGACAGATCTTCGACCTCCGGAACCGCTGCAACTTGGCGACAACGCGGCGGAGTCGTGGCTAAGGTTCAAGCAGCGCATTGAGCTTTACCTCCTAGCAACGGAACCCACGAAGCCTCGCAGTAAGCAACAGAAGGCCGCCATATTTCTACATATCGCGGGCCAGGAAGCTATAGACGTGTTTAACACACTGAATTTGACATCAGAGGAGCAAGCCGACTATGACGTACTAGTCAAGACTTTTGAAGACTACTGCCTGCCCAAATGTAACTAAACGTACGAGCGCTACGTGTTTCGCACGCGTCGGCAAGCTCAAGGAGAACCGTTTGAACAATTTTTTAGAGACCTGCAACTGAAAGCAAGGACGTGCAACTTTGCAGGTTTGAAAGAATCTCTCCTCCGAGAACAGATTGTTTACGGGATTTCGAGCACGCTGTTGCGAGAAAAGCTGCTTCGAAAAAAAAACCTAACCCTGGAAGTAGCAGTAGAGTGCTGCAAGGCTGAGGAGCGTGTCGAAGCACAGAACAAAGCGTGGGATGGCGAAACTGTGAAAATTGACCCCGTTCAACAAGGACAAGCCAAACAGCGTGAGCAGAGAAGATGCACTTATTGTAACTTATCTCATCCGCCGAGGAAGTGCCCAGCGTATGGAAAGACATGTACCAAGTGCACCAAACGGAGTCACTTCGCAGTCTGCTGCAGGAGTAAAAGGGCAGTGGTACACGACGTGGCCGAAGGGGACGAAAGCGATGGTGACTCCGACGTTCTTGAAATTTTGGCAACCGGGAACGAGCGCTCTTCCTCCAATCGCGACTGGATTGTCACCACACGCATCGAGGGAACCGTGGTGAAAATCAAGGTCGACACGGGAGCGCAGGCAAACTTATTGCCCAGAGCGTTGTTTGAGAAGCTCAGGACGAAGCAGAAACCCCGTCCAACCAGAAGCATTCTTCGCCACTACGGGGGCGGCGAAATTCAACACAGCGGAAAGGTTCGTCTGTCGGTGCAGCTCGACAAGCGACCAGTGCAGCTCGATTTCTTTTTGGCCAAAGGTGCATTTGTCCGCATTCAGCGTCAGTCCCTCAGCTTGTGCTGTTGCCAACGCCTAGCGAAGCCTTTTGTCATGTTCTTCTCGTGTGGCGCCCCACACCAGTACATCATCTATGTACACACGCACACCAGGGAGATCGTCGAATATCTGGCTCATTGTGCTTTGGAATACTTCCGGAGCTGAAGCGATTCCGAAGGGTAGCCTTAGATATCTGTAACGACCAAACGGACTGCTGAACGTGCAAATCTCCGAGGTCTGTTCATCAAGCGGAATCTGATAAAATCCACTGTTGGCGTCACCTACAGTGACTACAGTGACTGCTGACTGTCGCCTACAGGAGGCGACAGTCAGCGATCTCGCTCTCCAGCGAGTCATCACCTGCCTCCAATCATCGAAACCTGTGGAAGGTGAGCTGAAGCGGTTTACACCAGAACTTTCGGTGGTTAGCGGAGTACTGCTAAAAGGAAAGAAAGCAGTCATTCCGACAGCTATGCGAAGAGAGATGCTGAAACGACTACATCAAGGCCATCTGGGGCTGGGTAAATGCCTGTGCAAGGCCCGAAGATTGATGTATTGGCCAGCAATGACCGCCGATATTACCGCTTTCATCGACAGATGTGAAACTTGCAAGAAGTTTGCCTACAGACAGCCAGACGAGCCTCTCTCGATCCGCACCGTTCCCAACCATCCCTGGTCCAGGGTAGCTGCGGATCTCTTCCAACACTCCGGTAAACACTACTTGGCTGTATACGACGCCTATTCAAATTTTCCAGAAGTGGAACACCTTCGAGAAACCACAGCAAGGGTGGTCATTGACAAGTTAGCTCAAATATTTGCCCGCTATGGTTTACCTCTTGAAGTTTGCACGGATGGGGGCCCACAATTTTCCTCGAAAGAATTTAAGGATTTCGCTGCGCGTTATGATTTTCGGCATACTGTTTCAAGTCCAATATTTCCAAGGTCCAACGGTCTGGCTGAAAAAGGTGTACAAGTTGTAAAGCGTATACTACGAAAAACGGAGAGTGCCAAAGAAGACTTTTGGTTGGGCCTCCTCAACTACCGGGCAGCTCCCCTTGAAGATGGCCGCTCACCCGCAGAACTACTGATGGGTCGAGAACTACGAACCCTACTTCCCGACTTCACCGCGTCTCCCGCATCTCCGGTCAAAAAGCACGTCCAGAACGAGACGAAAGGAAGACAGCTAGCTCCTCTTCAGCAGGGAGACATCGTGCGAATCCTTAACAACGGGCGATGGGAGCGTAAAGCACAAGTGCAAGGCTTGGTGGCCCCAAGGTCATACACGGTGCTTACCGAGGACGGCCGGATCCTCCGCCGTAACCGACAGCATCTTCGAAAGACACCGGAAGGTTTCTTCATCTCCATCAACGACAGCGACTCAGAGGACTACAACGGCGATTGCTTGCCACCAACAAGAGATGGATCACAGCCTCCCTCACCACCAGAGCCTCCTCGAAACCAGGTGTCGCCTCACCCACCGACCTTGCCCGCTCTTGAGCAGGCGTCATCAGGAGCAGGACCTCAGTCCAAGAGACCTAGAAGGCTACCACAACGCCTGGGCTACATAAAAGGCTTCCAACAGGCAGAACTAATCTAAACGAGTACAGCCCGCTTCACGCGCTGCTTGTGGTTGTTGTGTACATCTTTGTTCCCTCAAAGAAAGGAGGATGTACCATATGCTAGCGGGAGGATCACTGCGTGCACGCGAAGAGACAAAAGGAGCGCGCGCTTAAAAATAAAGAAGTTGTTCTTGCTGCTGGCACTGATCGTGAACGCACTATCTTTACAGGATCCTCGAGCCGGTATACGACCGCAGTGCCGCCGCGTACATCCGCGACCTTTCTACGCTCGCCGTTCGTCGGAGCCTCGTCCCACTAGACCTTTCTAGTATGCGCCGTTTTTTCCCGCCGCTATGTGGCGGGTTTGTCGACGGGTCTTTTCTTGTTTCTGTACTTTAGGAACTGCATTTGTTTCTTTTCTGATCTAAAATACTGAACAAAAACTACTTTCATACATAATTGAAACGGTTCGCGACACTTATATTTTGTATCTCGACTTAAAAAAAAAAAAACTTTTAGCGGCTCTGACCGGTAGTAAGCCCAGGACCAAAGACGTCACATATTGCGCGCTTTCGGCAACGCGGGTCGCCCTCGTAGGTGGAGGAGGTTTCCGCGTCGTCCGGTTAAAATATGACGCACTGATATTTAGTTACTCTCTCCGTGCCCTCTGGCTTGCCCGAACCCCATGAGACGTGGAAACCGCAAAAAAGGTAGACGCTTAAATATGATTGCAGGGCCCCTTTAAAGGATTAGCATCGTCGAAGGTCGCGGCGAGTGATCGACACAAAGGACGGTTCGCCACGGGGCTGACGGCGAGTGTAGCAGCGGACGGGGACAGGTTTTGTTGACTTCCGCGTATCCCCCAGAGACGCTGTCATTTTAGTTCCTGTAACCCCGACAGGCGGCTGCAGATCGGCAAATAATTAGTTTTTTGCTTTGCGATTACGCAGCAGAATAGCAGTTTTTCGGGGAAAGGTGACGCGCTTTTTGTCACTTGGGCTTGCATGAACAATATAAAAATGCAAACTGCCAATTATTTCAACATTAAAATCATTGCACTGCCTCTTTAACTAAGGCAACACACTAGTCGAACAGGAAGGTGGCTATGGGATGCGTCATCTTTGAGAAATCACGTTGTCGTCTGGAAAGTGCAGTAACGGTGTACCAAAAGATGACTTTAAGGTTTGGAAAGCAATATAGCACGTGTTACAACATGCAATAACCTTTCGGCGGATATCTCTCGTAAGAGATAATCTGCATCTATAATTTTTTATCATACAGCGCTGAACGAATTTAATGGGACCAGCGGGGCGCGTGGCCTCGCGCAGACTGTAAAAGGCTTCATTGTCAAGGGCTCATGCATTTCGTGAATTTGGCGTAGTGTTGATTTTGAGAAATATTTCGTGGGAACGAAATTTCGAGAATCAGGGTGGTATGCTATGTATTTGTTACCATAGGAAAAGCATATTCGCAGGATATATTTTTTCAAAATGTTATTCGGATCGTGAAATTTGCGAAAATGAGGTCCTTGTGAAAATTGAGTCATTTACAGCGTACAGTTCCTCTAGCAATGCCTACAATAGCCAAATTCCAGAGCCATATGTTTACTTATAGGCTAGAGTAATTGTATGTGTTCCTGAAGTGGAGGATATGTAATTACTCTAGTGAGGCCACGTGATTCGCTAATCCATTTAGTTGTTTAATTTAGCACTGTACATCACTTATTTCGTAGCACCCTGCTCTCTTATTGTAAAGCTTGGTGAAAGACCGGTAAAAGTATAGGTGTACGAAAATAATGCATTCTCGTTAGGCTTGCGAGGTGTTCTATGGCAGATTACTGGACTAGCTTTTTGGCATTCGGGGATCGACACGTTCAGTGCTGACAGCTGCGGTGGCAAACTCGCGTTTCCTAGAACTGCTACGAGAGGTACGGAGACGACAACTTCCAGAAGGACTCCAGCGGTGCCGACGAGGACTGCCGGGGGTGCGCGGAGGGAGGGAGCCTTGTGGTCTCGGACTCGTGCAGCCGCGGCTTCTGCAAGTCGTGCATCCGACGCAACCTGTTCCGCAAGCAACTGAGCTGCACCACATCCCTGGACGTATGGAACGGCTACGTCTCCGACGCGTCTCCGAACGAGAACCTCGTTAACAGCGCCGACATAACACGCGAGTTCAGCAAGAATCATCATCATCTGCAGCAGCAGCGGCCTTCGAACCAACTGGCGTCCGCGGCCGACTCGCCCGGCGACACGGTTAGCGAGGACGTGCAGCTGAGGATGATAGCGGAGACGATGTCGCAAATTCAGCGGGCGCTGGACGAATTCAGCAAGGCAAAAGAGGGGAAGGGCGCTGACTCCGAAGTCCTCGTGAAGACAGCCGAGCTGATGCACGCCAATGCCCTGACTCTGGCCAGGATAACAGAAGACTTGGACCGTTTACAGCGGCGGCAGAAGCAACTGCAGCGTATGAACCGCACAAGGACGGCGGACAAGAAGAGGACTTTGAAAAAGAAGACAGAGGGCAAGGGTAAGGGCAAGACGGAAGAGGATGGGCAAGGAGGCGAGGATGCGTCCGATCCCGTGGGCGACGCGAGCACGTCTGAGATCGCGGACGAGAGTTTGGGCGTCGCTGTGGAGGCCCGACAGGAAGAAGTGAAGGAAGACGAACAGGCAGGAAAGGACAAGACGAAAAAAAATGTTGCGAAGAAAGAGGACGGAGATGGCAAGGACATAGCGTGCAGGGAGCCTTCCGCAGCAGGCGAAACCCCGACAATCGTGCTGGACCTCCCCGAAGCGCCGAGTCTCGGCGACGAGTTTCCGCCGGTTGCCGCAGCAGACGGCGAGGACTTCGTGGTGAAGTGGCAATTGCCTCTAGATGAGCTGATCCGGCAGTTTATTCCCGACGAGTCTGGGCCACGGACGACTCGCGTCGAAGTAGAGCTCAGTCCGAGCCACGACGAAGCGTCCGCCAGCCGGAATACTGCCGCCGCGGACGAATCGACTGCGGAGGTGGGTGGTGCCAAGACGCGGAACTTTTGCGACCCCGACACGGACAGCATCGCTTCGTCGGCAAAGGGTGACAGCCTTTGCGATCTGCCGATTGATAGCAACAAGAGCTCGTGGGAAGAAAACGAGCCGTTTACGGCACAGACGAATGACGAGCAGCGCAAGAAGCGTTCTCCGCTCAGCAAGAACCAGAAGGCCCGCCAGGCCCTAATGCGCAGCTTGCGGTACTCTGGGGACGGTCCCAGTGACGAGGACAGCGAGGACGACTTGCCGCTGAGATCGGGGCGGATCCAAAAGACGACTCCGACTCGGCGGCGGAAAAAGTGGAGCCCCAAGAAGAAGGCGCAGGAAGCAGGATCGGATCCGCCGACCCCGGCACTCTCGGGCTCCTCTACCCCAGCGCCGGTCGGGGTGGATCCGCCGGGACCCGACGACCCCAAGCTGAGACTGGTGCCGGTCGTCGTGTTGCGGAAGCTGCCGATCTTTTGGGACACATGGGCGGAGCAAAAAAAGAGAAAGAGCGAAAACGACATCTCGAGACTCCTCAGGTTTCCGCAGCCAGCCCGTAAGCGCGACAGGACGCCGAGAAAGCCGGAGGAGGCGAAGGCAGTGGTGGCTAAGTCCAAGAACGCCGACACTCAAGGCATCCAAGCCAGCGGTAAGTACGGCCCCCCCCCCCCCCCCTTTGACGGTCAAGTTTTTTTTTTAGTTTTTTCACTAATTCCCAGTGGTCAGGTTTCGTTTCCAAAAGGGTAGTATAAAGAAAGGGTCAATGAACAGATTTTTTTATTTATTATCTAGAAAAAAATTGGGTTGTGTGTATGTTTATACAGCCTTGAACTTAGTCTGCCTCAATGGGCGACTTGTCTCCCCTCTGTAGATGAGCAATTTAGCCAGAGCAGTACAACCGCTAGCCTGAGGTCTTTAACGTGCATCACGCAGTAGTGATACACGACCGCACGCCGGCACGATGCTCATCCAGATCGAAACGGGCAGGGGTGGGGATTGAACCCAGGATCCCTGGGTTCTGCAGCGCGAGCTTTCGCTCCACGTGCTCCCAGCTAACGCCCCTTGATGAGATTCGTGCTTTCAAGTACCGCCAACCATTGTTGTGGAAGCGTGCAAGACACGTGCCAGGAGCGGGTGCTCCGCCGTCATTCGCTTCAGGGCCGCTCATTTCAGTGCTGCGCCGCCATTTGCTTCGAAGGGCCGCTCGAGACACGGGCCTCGTGCACTGGCGCATCTGACGCTACTTGGAAGACAAACGCAAACACATCGAGGGGCTTTAAGCGCTGTTTATACTCCGACGTTGAGCGCAGTGAACGCAGCGTAGCGCAGAACGCGCGCCCTTCATTGGCCGGTGGCGAGGAACTCGATTTCTGCGACCAATCAGTATCTGTGTTTGCTGCGCTACGCCGCGCCAGTCGACGTTACGTTGGAGTATAAACGTACCTTTACTCCGAGCTGGTTTGCGCTAGACCAGCGGCGTAGACTTTCCATTTTCCCGGGGGGGGGGGGGGGGGGGGGGGGGCAGGGGGCAGGGGGCAGGGCAGGGCAGGCTGAGAAATTTTCCGGGGGTGGGGCGTGTGCTTTTCCGCGCAATTTTTTTTTTCACCGGCAATTTTCAGTAGTTTATTTTAGGGGGTACATTTTACAGCGTATGTTTACCTTCTTCAGCTATCATTGTAACAGCAGTGCTCTTGGTCCATTACTTTTTCTAACTTTTATTAGCGACTTGCCAACTAATATTACCGCTACTAATCGGATTTTTAGAACATCTCCGGATGGAGTAGGCGTCTCTATATGACCTTCC